GCTTATAGTAGTTGTCATTTCTTTTAATGGATTGTCTCTTTTTAATATAATAAAAACTTATAAAGTTCCCAGTGAAAAGAAACTATATGTGAGTGGTAAAATATTATCTCCTGCTTAAGATCTTTTTGTTTGTGTTTAGCAGAATATTCTATAGTTATCATCATTCTACTAAAACATTTAATTAAGTGATGGACTACTCTCTTCTCTTGACTTTAATGATAACATTTTTTCCTGTTCCTATGCCTATCTCTTTCTATTTATTTTCATTTACCTCTTCCTGGCACCACTTGATGTATTGTTCCTTTCTCCTTCCTTTTTAATTTTATCTCATTCCTTTACCATAGCTTCAACTGTATCCTCTGATGATTCTCAAATCTTCAGCTCCATACTACAACTACATAGTAAGCTCTAGACCCAAATTTCTACATAGACTTCAAACTTAATATATATAAGGTTCAGTTCATCTTTTTCCCAAACACACAGTTTTTCAATTTCACTCAATGCTACTAACATCTACCCTTCGTATAATGAGAAACTACCATCATCTTCTACCTCCAAATGCCTAACAAATCCTGCAATTTCTGTTATCTAAAGAGTTATCTAATTTGGTCCATTTTTTTCCATCCTTATTGCTCTTCCTTAATTCACACCATCTTAATTTCCCATGCGTAGTACTTTTGCTACCTGCCTCAACTCTTGCCCAGTTTCAGTCCTTTTCTTCTAGGCATCAGCAGTGAATATTCCAAAATGCAAACCTTACATTACCACTCTGCTTTGTAAAATGCTTTGGTGCTTTCTCGTTGCTCACCGTAGGTGCTGTGAATTGAAATACCTGTGGATATCAAATAAGCAGTATAAATAGTGTTATCAACAACAAAAGCTATTTAGTGAGTACTTGCCTTTTTCAATCAGTTTTGAAGTATTAAAGCATGTAAACTTTATTTCATTTAATTCTTTAAAGGTGGGTGGTGTTATTATCCTCATTTCCCAGAACTGGTAAAAGTGGCTTACTGTACATAAATTGTTTGTACAAACAATGTGGTTTATGCTGAACACCTTTTGGAGTTTGAAAGGTTGGTACATACTAGTCAGAGGGTACTTACACAACTAGCCCCTAGTAAAAACCCAGTGTACTGAGTCCTTAAGGAATTTCCTTGGTAGACATTTCATAAGCATCATTGCAACTTGTTGCTGGGGGAATTTAGTGAATATCTGTGTGACTCCACTAGGAAAGGATTCTAGACTTTTCTTCTGGACTTCACCCCATGTAATTCTCCTTTGCTGATTTTAGGATACTTTGTATCCTGTCATTTGCTGAGATCTGAGAGTGGTCTTGAGAGCCCCCACCAAAACCACTTAAACTGGGATTATAGGCCTTGGCAAGAAAGAACAGAAACCTGGTCCAGAGTGGCAGAATTGACATGAGAAATATTTAAAAGTAAAATTGACAGGACTTGGTGACTGTTTGAAGGTGAGGTAAAGGAGGCAGCAGATTATTAAGGATGCCTACAAGTTTTTTTTAATCTAGCAACTGATTGAATGATAGTACCACTTACTGGGAAAGCAGCATAACATAATAGAAGGAATACTGAATCTGAAGTAAAAAGACTTATATGGATTCAAGTTCAGACGTGGGTGCTTATTAGCTCTGACAGACCCATCCTTCCAAGCCTCATTTGCCCAACTGAGACTGTTAAGAGGATTGAACAGACATTTGAGGAAATTGTCTAAGTTGTTAGGCATATGCAAATGTTAATTAAGATTAGTAAGCTACCGTTCATTAAGTGCCTAATGTGTGCACATCATCTGAGAAGCTGGACTCTATGAAGAACGTGGCTTGGAGGAAGACTCTTTAGCAGCTTACGACACATAGGTGATAAGCCTTGCTTGCTGAAAGCAAAGAGAACTTGAAACACTTACTGATGAAGATCAGAGACTACAGTCTTTAGTATGGATAACACCTCAACATAAAATAAAAATCCTCCTAACTGGACCAATGAGTAACATCATGATAAATGAAAAAAAGATTGACTTGTCAGGGATTTCATTTTACTTGGATCCATAATCAGTGCCCATAGAAACAGCAGTCAAGAAATCAAATGACATATTGCATTGGGCAAATGTGCTACAAAAGACCTCTTTGAAGTATGAAAGAACAAAGATGTCACTTTGAAGACTAAGGTGCATCTGACCCAAGTCACAGTATTTTCAGTAGCCTCATATGGATGTGAGCACTGGACAATGATTAAGGAAGACTGAAGAGAAGTTGATGCTTTTGCATTGTGCCATTGGCAAAGAATACTGAATATACCATGGACTGGGAGCTCTGGTGGCATAGTGCCTAAGGCATTTGGCTGTTAACCAGAAGGCTGGTGCTTCAAACCACCAGCCACTCCTTGGAAAGGAGATTGGGCAATCTACTTCCATAGAGATTAAAAAAAAAAAAAAAAAAACTAAACGCACTGCTGTGGAGTCAGATCTGACTCATATAGTAATCCCTCTTTGGGTTTCTGAGGTGGTATCACTATGGAAGTAGATTGCCCAACCTTCCTTCTGAGAGTGGCTGGTGAGTTTGAACCGCCAGCCTTCTGGTTAACAGTCAAGTGCCTTAGGCACTATGCCACCAGAGCTCCATAGAGATACTGCCTCGGAAGCCCAAGGAGAGATCATTATGAGTCGGAGTTGACTCGATGGCAGTGAATTTTTTTTTTTTTTTTTTTTTTTTTTGTGGACTGGTAGAAGAATGAACAAATCTGTCTTGGAGGTAGTATAGCCAGAATGCTCTTGAAAGTGAGAATGATGGGACTTGATCTCACCTACTTTGGTCTTGTCAGAAGGGATCATTTCCTGGAGGAGAATATCATGCCTCAACCAGATGGATTGGTAGAGTGAATGCAACGATAGGCTTTAAGCATAGCAATGATGGTGTGGATGGCACAGGACTGGCCAGTGTTTCATTCTCTTGTACGTAGGGTTGCTATGATTTGGAACCAACTTGATGACACATAGGAATGTGTGCCAGAAGTTGACAGACATTTTATGTATTATTACTACTGTTTTTGCATTGTTATACTTTCCATTGAATTCTGAAACTCAAAGTGCTTAGAGTATCAATGTGTTTGTTTATTTTAACTTACATGATCTTTCTCATGTTCTTTGGAGGTAAATGGAGTGTTGATTTTTTTTTTTTTTAATTGGGGGTTGGGTGCAAATTTACAAAGCAGATTAGTTTTACTCTCAATAGTTCATGCACATTTGGTTTCACAGCCTTGATTACAATCTCAACAATAAATAGCTCTCCTCCCATCAACTACCCCTTCCCTATGTCCTTCTTGTCTGTGTATTCCTGTCTGTCCAACTTTGCTTCTGTTCAGATGCTGCTGTTCTGGTGTCTCACGGTTGATTGATCCAAGGGGTGCATCTCTTTAGGGTAGGTGGGTGCATCTTCCTGGGCTAGGTGTTCTGCTTGTAGACCTTTCTGCTGTTTGGCTGAGAGCTAATCAATGAGTGAGTCCAGTTCCAGGCCCAAAGGATAACTCAGGGCCGTAGTTTTGGGGTTTCTACCAGCCTCTATCCAACCTGGTCATTTTTGTGTTTTTGAATTTTGTTCCACATTTTTCCTCCCACTCTATCCAGGATCTCCAATTTTGATCCATTTCCAAGTAGTTGGCATTGGCAGTTAGGCACCATCCAGTTCTTCGGTTTCGGGTCATGAAGGCTAAGGTCCCTATGGTCCATCATATCCTTGGACTAATTGTTTCCATATAACTTTGATTTTTTTCACTCTTCTTTACTCCAGACAAGGGGAGAGCAATAGTTGCATCTTAGAAGACTGCTTGAAAGCTTTTAAGACCTCAATTGCTACTCACCAAAGTAGGGTGTAGAACAAGATTTTTATGTGCTGTGTTATGCCAATTGAGCTTGATGTTCCCTTAGACCATCATCCCGAGCCTGCAGGCCCAGTGACCTTTTCCCTCAAGGGGCTTGGTTGTCACTGAGAAGCTACTCCAACCCTGTCCCCTGTTGGTTCTATAATGTATATAGATTTTTTTTGTAGCACAAATACACATGTAAGTATATCTTCAGCCAGATCTGTCTGTGGTCATGGGTATATTCCTGTTCACCTACCCATACCCAATCTTCTCATCTGTTTATGCAGTATTGTGCATGTAATAGTATTTGCCTCTGTTATCTATATCTTTTGTGCATAATTCTGTATCTTCCTTTTCCCTTTTGTCATTGTGCTGGTCACACACTTTTGTAATACTGACTTTCCCTTCACCCATTGATTTTAAACATTCAAGCTCATAGACTTTGTTATTGAGGACGTGGTGCCCTGTAAGGGATTTGCCATGGTTATGCAGTTATTTCAAGACTGAGTGACATTAACAACATTCTGATCCTCTAAGATGGAGCACACTTTCCACTATGCCAAATGCTTCTAATTCACATATATACCATGGATGAATAAAGAGCTTTGCTTTTATAATTTCAGATCTGTTGGTTAGCAAATATATATATATATAAATATGTAAAAATATATAAATATATATATATGTGTGTATATATGTATATGT